TGACTGAAACACTGACTAAAGTAACTTCTTTACAACATTTCTGACTTTTAAAAGAGCTTCTTTTTTTGTTTGTTATATGCAGCCCTATTTACCAAACACAAATACATGTAAAATCCAAATGAATCAACAACGTAATTACACTACATGACAAGTGAGTGAACTAAGCATGAATACAGTTTTTTAAAGTGTTGTGCCATGTAAACTGGAATATGGAATAAACAGCTCTCAGCAGTTCAATGTAAAAGGAGGAAGGGCTTGGTATTTCAAACTGTTTGCAGATGTGTGTCTCCACCAGTTAAATGCTGCTTGTACTGGAACAACACACAAGGATTAGAAGGACTAGAGGAGCTTAAACAAAACTGGGGATACTACAGGGCTGACTGTTTAGTCTACACAAACAACATGCCCTCTCTTTTCGAGGGACGGACTTGGACACTTGTTTATCGTACGGGACAAACATCCGTTGTCAGGGTTCGGCCTTGCTTGCGCCCATGTCTTGTGAATGACCCTAGCTGGCTCTTTTATGTGCGTCTATAAAGGGCGGCCGAGAGAGCAGCTCCCATAGGAGGGCTCGACCTGACGATGACACCCTGTTGCCATGGAGACTAATGCTATGTTAGGCTTGGATTGGGAGTGGAGGTGGAGGTGGCGGCGGCGGGGGTAGCCACTGTCACTAGTGTATCTAATGATGTTTGCAGCACAATGCACTCATCTCTGCACAAAGTGTGATGTGCCCTCACTCTGGTTAACGCCTGTATCAACAGGGTCCATGTTGCCGTCATGGCGTCTTTTGAGCTCGGCTATGAGTGTAAGAACACATGAACAGAGCATGATAATTTTCCTATTATCAGTTCAGTCAAAAAGCTCTTTATGAGTCAGTGCATTGGTGTTACACTGAGAAGGACGTATTGTACTAATAACTATATTTGAATGCCATCAATTATACGGAAACATTTCTCATCTGAACACACAGTTCAACTGCTCACAGTCCAAGGACTTTCCAAATGACTGAGGGATATATCACTTCCCTTTCAAGGAGCCCAGGGGACCAATACACCTGGCTTAGCAGCTTAACAGCATTTCCCCAAACACCCAAGCCGAAGGGTGGCCCAGAACAAAACCTGAGACGCTTGATGCTTGAGAGGGCTACCTACTTACTCATCTGACTGACCACTCTCCCTCTCTCACTCGATCCCTCCCTCCCTCCCTCCTTTTTGGCTCACACATAACACACGTGTGCAAACTCCTCAACTGGCCCGGTTTGCTCCTGAGGTCCCCTATTTATTTTCATAGGTGTTTGAGGGTTTACACTAGTCAAAAGACAAGGCCAGAGCCCAGAGTGGTATCTTTGTATCTGAGTGCTTCCTGTTTTCATTGCGAGGCCGACCCTTGTCTTTACAGGGGTGAGCAAGGGCTAGCAGGGGGCTAGCAGGGGGTGAGAGGGAAGGAAGGCCAGGGGCGCCAAGGGGCTAATTGCAGATTTTAGAGTTTGCTTTTGCCAAACAAAAGGGCATCACCTTTTGCAACAATAAGAAAAAACTCCCATCGCTGCCTCTCTATTACTTTGCACCCCCCTCTCTCTCTCTCATCCTTTCTTTTATGCTTTCTTACCTCACCTCTGTCTACCTCTCCAACTCCGACTCCCTCTCCTGAATTCTGTAGTCCATGCTTTTGAAGTGCAGGAGAACATTTTACCCCTAACAGTGAAGTTTACCTTTCTGATAACATAATCTCCCTGTAGTATTGAAAAGCTTATACCAACACTCTGGGATTTCCCTTCCACTAATGTGGCTGGAAGACATCCAGAAACTCATGGAGAGGGAGGGGCGGGGGTATTAGAGAAAGAGAAGGAGTGGGTGGGAGGATAGAAGGAGGGAGTGGAGAGACAGTTTGACCCTCTTCTGCCAGCTAACACCAGCTGATCTGTCCAGACGTTTGCCAATTACATATGGGGCATTTAAAGCTGCCAGATCACATGCTCTCTAGCGCATGTGCATATGGCCTCAACATAAAAGAGGTCAGGGTTATCGCAACTTCTCCACAGCGTAACTGCGGAGTCTTTGCATATTTTTTGTGAGATGTTCATGGCACCGAAAACTGTATCTCGCTCTCAGGTGGACTGTAGAGTTTATGGTAAATACGAAGTGAAATTACTTTCTATATGTGACGGTCCCGAAGAAAACCATCCCTGTGATCTCTGTCAAGAGAGTGTGAGGTCAGAGTAAGGCGAGGGAGGGTGGGAGGGGAGAGGGAGAGGGCAATTTTGTTATACTGAATCCAAAAGCCAACAGTTGTTACTATTGGCCTGTGTTGTTTTTCTGTGTCTGAAGGGGGGTCCTATCCTTTTGAGCTTTTCAGAGGATGTGACAAAGGCTGGATGTTGAGAACATATGTAGAGAGACCCCTGCGGCTCATGGAAGAGGAGCTCCATGCTGGCCCCGCGGTTTGAGAAAATACAAGGCCGCTCCTTTCACTCCTCACCTCTCAGTTAATGAATGCGTGAATGGCAGAATGCCGCTATAGGCCATTCAGGGGCCAAAGTCCCCAAGAATTCACCCTTGCACAAACGCATCCAGCAATGGCAAATACATTTGCTTAACAAATTAAAAGAAAGGAGAATGGCTAATGGGCGTGTGTGTGTGTTTGTGTGTGTGTGTGTGTGTGGTTGTGAGAGAGATGGAGACAGAGAGAGAGTGAGAGAGTTTATGGGTGGGAGAATTGGATGGTGAGAAGAGAAGGGGGATAATTCAATTAGTCCTCTTCCTCAGTAGAGAAATGAAGGCAGGTTAAAAGGGAGGGATTATTATTAGTACAAGACTGGCCAGGGCTATACACAAAAGAAACAAATAAAGATTGGAGAGAACATCTACAAGCAGGGGATGTGATAAAGGAGAGGGTCGGAGAAAAAGAGGGCCTTGAAAGCTCCTCTCTCTCTGAATTAACCAGCTCCCTGAAAAATGCGCCTGTGCCCATCAGCGGGCTTCCCCTCCTCCTTTCTTTTCCACTCTTTCAATTCAATTTTAAAACAATTCTAAAGAAAATTGTTGGCAACTCTTCCAAACGCTCTGTATGCGACACTCTGTCTTTCTCTCTGCAGCTTTTGCAGAGGGGTGGAGGGTGGGGGTCGGCGGGGGTGCTGAAGCAGTGTGTGGCTTTCACCAGGAAAGATGCCAAATCATGAGAAAATTTCTAGTCTAAACTCACATAAGGTGTGTTTATGTGCATGTGAATATGAACATACAGTAAGTTCCGCTTAAATAAAACATTTAGCCTTTTTTGTTTGTCCCCTTCATACACAAACAAAGTATTCTACTCCCAGCTCAGGGGAGGAAAAAGACCTGAAGCAAAAAAAAAAGAAAGAAAGAAAAAAGAATTGCTCTCAAATAATAATAATAAAAAAAAAAAATAAAAAAAAAGTTTTGCCTTCCTCCCGCCCTCAGCCTCTGAATGAAGCTTGGTGTGTACGTTTTGGTGAGAGGTCTCCAGTCAGGGAGCGATGGAGCTGTGAACAGCTGTGAAGTCATTTTGATAATGATGAGAATAATAAGCATGCAGACTGGCGTGGTGGAGCCGCTAAGGCCTGCGAGGCTCGGGGCTTTGCTGTTGCAGCTTCACTGCTCCTGAATAGATAAAAGTGATTAAAGCACTCCTGATTATCCCTGACCAATATGTAATGGATTTACAGCCCTTTCAATTAGGCCGTATTTGCTGGCCACTCATTACTTGGGCTTTTGGTTAGATAATCAGGGTACAGGGGCTTTGGGCAGGGAGTGGGCACTGTTGGTTGGGTGTGGGGTGGGGAGGGGGTACAGGGTGCACAGGGGGCACCTGACCCTCTTAAAATATGCGGATGATCCGTAAGGCTGAAGCTCTAAACTAAGTCACCTCTACTTTCTCTCTCTCTTCTTTTACTTCTCCCTTCCCCCCACATTGTCCCTCCATCTCTGGGACAGGGAGCCACGTGCTCAGAGAGCAGCTTATGTGTCCTGGCGTGGCCACCTCCTCCTGAAATCTGACCTGCATTGCGAAATCAATACAGCCTGATGTTCTGATAATGTCCTGACATTAGGGGAAGGTTGGGGGGGGGGGGGCATGTGGTCCATCCCCTAATACTTGACACAAACAGACAGACAGAAAACAGCTGAGCAGCGAGTATTTCATTATTTTGCCAGGTATGTTTGAATTACTGCGGCATCTGAGTATTTAATCTGAGCCGTGTAGCATCACTGTGGTCTGACTGAACTTTTTGGCAAACGAACCATTTCCTTTCACCTATGCAGGAGAAATACATGAGCAGTCACCATCTCCGTCTCAAATATAAACTATCAACCAGATTAGAGCTGACTAGATTACATTTTCACTCATTCCAATGAAAACACTGCAAGTTTCAAGGTATGCCATATCTGTATGTTTACAGTTGTGTGCCCATAACCATCTATAGATCTTCAAAAGCATTACTGTAAAAAAATAAAATAAAATAAAAAAAATCAAGTGATCAGGTATAGAAGTGTAAGAAATCAGCGTACTCAGTCTAAGTCTTAACACGTCTTTACACACACAGTCATTCTCCGGTAACTACCACTGTTAATCTGTCTTAATCTGCCCCAGAAAATCTTGGAGCCAAGCAAACAGCACATCTCATATTGGAGTAAATGTCATGGATTGTTGGGCCAGCTCCCTCTTACTGCGCTGAGCAGAGTAAACAGTCCAAACTGATTAGATTGACCTGGTCACTGTGTCCCTCTGACAGGTGGCTGACAGGTGAGCATCACAACGCTGCCGTCACTCACTCCCTCGCTCAGTAACGACGGTGTGACAGCTGTGTGTGTGTATGTGTGTGTGTGTGTGTGTGTATGTGTGTGTGTGTGTGTCTGTGTGTCTGTGCATGTTTTTTGTTTTTTTTGAGTCTGTGCGTGTCTGTGTCTGTGTTTTGTTTCTACCTGGGTTGTTTATATACACGCGTATCTCCAAAAAAAAAAAAAAGTAACGGATGTGCTTACCGTGAGATGCTGGAACAGCCACGCCCTCATGATGTTAGTGGCCACCTTGGGGAAAATGCCACGCTTTTTCTGCCTCTTCTTATCCTTGTCTGGATCATCGTCATCCCCTGTGCCAGGCGATGCAACGCTGTTGTCTAAGCCATCTCCTGGACGGAAACCAAACCCAGGGTTAAATAACATCCCAGACCACATCACTGACTCAGAATACAATACAAAAAGAAAAATCCAGATCTAAAAACTCTCAAAGCTGAAACACAAGCACAGACGGTCAAAGCTGAGTTTAAGGCTTATGAAAGATGGATAAATGGACAAATACCACGGATACCTACGAAGGAATTCAAAAGCACTGCACTGAGGCCGAGAGAATTGCCGCAGCGAAGCCAGTGTTATGTGGTGAAGATATGGAGGTAGGGGGATTTAAATGGCCTTAGATGAAGGCCTGTACAGAGAGTGAGGGGTTTTGCTCAGAGGCCTAGCAGAGTCGTTCTATACCCCAGAGCACTGGAGAGGGGAATAGGGGTTAATGACTCCAATGTTATGGTTGGACACTGAAACACTAAGTTCCTCATTCCAGTTCTACAGTAGGAGGAGGAGGAGGAGGAGGAGGAGGAGGAGGAGAGCAAAAGAAAGGACAAGGAGGCTTCAAGTACAGTAGAGGCTCGGACTCATGTCATTAATTCAATTAAATTTGCATGCTTGACATAATGTAGAGCATTTTTTTTTTTTTTTTCATCTTTTGAAGAGAGCCGAAGGGGACAGCAAGGAGTTATGCAGACATGTACAGTAATACACAGTCATTGCGTGCACAGACACACACACACACACACACATACTCGCATACAAACAAAACTCAAAGGAGCTGATAATTCGCGGCATACAGTTGAGACGCACGAGTATTAAAGTAGGGATGTGATTTGGGGTGGTTCATTGTTGCACTTCAATGCACATAATGGACTCGTCTGCTTCTCCCCCTACCACCCCCCACCCACCCACCCCCGCTCCATCCCAAACCCTGACTCTCTTAGTCCTCCTGCTCGCCGACTCCCTTCCCTTGCAGCAACCCCTCCCCATTCCGCCACAAGATTAGCATGACAGGCCAGCGGCGGCTTCGTCTGCATTAATGTCCGTCAGTGTTTGATTTCAAGAGGAAAACATGCATATATACCCCGGCACGATTTCTCCTTTAAATTGAAGTTTCCATCTTTGTCCCTTGCCTTTTTCTTCTTCCCCGGCATTAATTGTGCATTAGCAAAAATGATTTACTTTTAACAGTCATAGTTATTTTTTCTTGCCCCCGGGCACAAATGCCTTGAAAGCCTTCCTTGAGGGCATCTAAATTATGTATCTGAAAAACTCCTCCACTAAGGCAGAGAAGGACCCTGACGTTCTCAAAATTCAGACTCGCATGTCCTCCTGTTTTTGGGGAGGCATCAATCACAACCACCTATACAAGCCTTAATCTTGCATAAATATTTGAACTAATAACATTAAAAAAGGGGGAAAGAAAAAGGATCCGACTGGTGGCGTAATCAAATGCAAAATAAATGAAGAATACAAGGACAGCAGGGGCCCTCACTTGGAACTACTTTACCCACTTTCTTTTTCTTTTTCCTCCCCCTTGTTTGTCCCTCTCTTTTTTCCTCTCCCTCTGTCTTTCTTTTCTGTCTGTGCACAGTGTTTTCCTTCCACATCATTAGTGCGGAGCCACACGAAAGAGGAAAACAGAGAAGTGCCGACTTTGCGCTCCCTGTGTGAAGTTAAAGAAGCAACAGCCCTTCTGAAGGACATATGGGAATGGGGACACAAACTAGGGGGTGTTGTAATTGTAGAATGGGCATTCATTAGTGGCAAATGCCGTAAATCCCAGGCTAAGTACGAATCCTTGTTCAGGAAAGCCTAAAACAATAAACTTTGGTCTGGCCATAGCCTACCCTGACTGTGAGGGGGCTTCCTGAGAAATGCGACCCAGACGGAAGTCAATGTCGAACTCCCCCAGTTTGCTTCCAAACTTCAGTAACAACACAACTAGTGAGCTGTGAATCTTAACCACCCTCCCCTTGTTCCGCTGCTTTTGAGCCTCACTGAATAATGTTGATACACAGTTTGGTTGTTTGTTTGTGTGCCGCTAGGTTTTGTGTTGATTTTCGAGCTACTCTCCAAATCCCTCTCCTGCTGTGAGCAGTCAGGCTCATCCAATGGAACCACACAGTGGCCAAAAGGCTGGCAGATTAATTTTATTGACGTTTCCATTTTCACTGCAATGCGATAGCCTCCCCCCTGGCCAGGGCCAGAGCGACCCGTGCGTATTTACAGACTGACCTGTCACTTCATTACCCAGCATGCTCGCTGCCTCCTGCCCTAGCCCGCGAGGGTGAAACCAGACTCCAAGGCTTTCAGCTCCTCTCTCCCTCTGTCTTTCTCTCACATGTACATGGATACTGTCATGTGTGCACAGATCAGGCATGCGGCATTCAAGCATTCATGCTGAGTACAGTATTAATAGTTGTTTTTGACTTACTATACACATGGAGAAATATGTGTTATCTAAATAGAGAATGAATGAAAATCAAGTGTGGACAGAAGTTGAAAAAGAAAGACAGAAACAAAGAAAGAAAGAAGAGGAACAAAAAGAAGCAGGAGGAAGAAAGGACGGAGTAGAAAAAGAATAAAGAAGACCCAACTTGCACAACCTCATTACATCTAAAGGAGAGCTGGTGCTTTGCATCCACCCCCACTCCTTTCTTATGAGCGAGAGAAGGAACGCTGCAGGGCAAATTGTCCCAAACGCTAATGGCTTCTGACTGTTCCCTGGCAACTCTGCCATTCTAACCTGTGTGGATGTGCACTCTGAAAAAAATGGGGAAAGGAAAAAAAAAAAAAGTGCAGGGCAGAGCAGGGGGAAGCGTCCCATCATCTGGCCATGTGACACAGATGGGGGTTGGCTATTAGGAGGCAGCCGAAAGGCCTAGGGGAGCCGAGGTGCTGGAGTGTAGCCCCAGGCACTTTTGGAAAAGCAGCGCCCTTGGAGACGGAAAAAAAAGACAGCCTCCCTCTCTCCCCACTCTCCCCACTCTCTTTCTGTCTTCCCTCACTTTCTTCCTCTCTCCTACCCCCCCCCCCCCCCCTTACCCACTCTATCAATATCTTGACTTAAAGTGCTTGCAATGAAAGTTTGTGCACATTTTCATATCCACAGAAACCGAGAAGATGTAATCAGGCAAGATGGAAGACAATGACCGGACGCAATGAGGGTGAGGGAGCGAATGAGCGCGCTAGCAAACAAACAAGCACAAGTCCAAGAGCGCATTACGCTCACATACATTCTCCCTCTCTCATCACCAGTGGGTGGTTATTAAAAATGCATTCAGATATATCTCCCTGTGAGTAAATTGGTCTCAGGGCTGAGCTCATTAACGGGTTGGGAAAGGACTGTAAACACACTGCAACTCTGCTTATCTAATGTTGGCACATTCAGGGTTGCTTCAGGTTTTCTTGCACAAAAAAAAAAAAAAAAAAAAAAAAAAAAAATTGGTTTAGCACAAAGTGTCTTACAGTCTCTGCTGAGAGTAAGGGGGACTTCAGGGGAGTCCTAATGACTCGAGAGATCATGCTTTATGTCTAGGAGGCACGCTGCCCCTGAGGGAGCCACTAAGGTCTAGTCAGCCCTGGAAGCATTATGGATATAACCGTGAGTAACACACACTGCAGCTCTATCAGTACACCAAGAATGCGCTCCCTCTGCTGCTCTATCATTCCGATATACCCCATGCATGAATGAATAATGACTTGTCAATAGCTGGAATACACATTCAAACCCAGTCTTGGTTAGTTATCAAATAACACTCCAGACTTATTGGTCCCTATACTATTAATACACCTACTGAAGAGCCTCAAGACAAGCTTTAGATGTTGTGTGTGTATTATTCTAAAGGCCGTGCAGTGATTTTGAACTGGGAGGCCCCGGCGTTTGTTTCAGGGTAATGAAGCAGGAGTGTAGAGGCAGTGGCTTATGGAAGCTGTGGTTAAAGTGACTAATTACAACAGACCCCCCACGCCCCCCTGTCAACCCAAACTAGTGAGATTGTTCACCCAAGCTCGCCCCAAATCAGGAGAAGAGAGAAACTCATGAGGACAACTCGGAAGAGCAGATGGAGAACAGAAGCTGAGAAGTTTGCTATAGCAGGAGCTCTCTCGGGCCTCCTCTACCTTAGCACACCATAGTGACCAGGCCCTCCAACCCTCCCTCCGACACCCTCCTATTACACCACCTCTAGCCCTGCAGGCTTGGCCGCAGAGAATGAAGAGAAAAGAAGAGGGGGATTTAGAGCCTCCCTTTTCCCTCTTTTTCTCCTCAACTTTTCAGCCAACATAAGCGGCGTTTAGCACATTCAGTCCCCCCAAATGGCAGCGAATGAGAGAAGCAGTGGGGGCTCCTCTTTTGTCCGTCTGGTTACCCCTTTTATTTACTCTGGATTTACGAAGGGGTCTTTGCTGGCTCCGGGAGCACATGCTCTTGACGCACACACAGTCTCTCTCACATACACACATACACAAACACGTCGAGGCTCTATTCACACTAGTGGAATGGCCGGCCCTCTGTTGCTCTGTGCCGACTGGGGATTACAGGTCTTCTGGCTATAACCACATGCTAGCAATATGCTTCGTACTCACATAACATACAACACAGATGAGCGTTAACGAGTAGAACATAATCCCTTTAATGATAAAACACACACTCCAGCGTCCAATTTCTAACATTAAGTAACCCATCAGTGTGTTTTGTGTGTCTTTGTGTGACCGCACACCATATGGTTTACTGCGCTCATTCAGATCCATACAGTAGATGAGGGCCCTAAACGGAACTGTTTTAGTGTGCACCACTGCAGCCAGTGTTTTACGCTGATTATTTCCTGATCTGTGCTTAAACAAGCAGCAGCCCCTTGCACTCGACCATAAAACAACAGCTTAGTAAACAGCAAGCATGCTGACAAATTGGTAGCGCTCAGGCCGGAGTCATTAACAGCCCTAAAACCTGTCAGAGCAATTACAACAAACTCTCTCCTTCAGCAAGTCTCCCTGCCAAACTCAGATGTCACTACCCGCCTTCCCCTTTACCGCCCCCCTCTTACCACCAGGACACTGGCTA